GCCAACTGGCCTTCAGTTTTAAACAGACATGACAGCGCACTCAGAAGGTGCCCAATGTCTGCAATAAAGTAGCCAACTGGCCTTCAGTTTTAAACAGACATGACAGCGCACTCAGAAGGTGCCCAATGTCTGCAATAAAGTAGCCAACTGGCCTTCAGTTTTAAACAGACATGACAGCGCACTCAGAAGGTGCCCAATGTCTGCAATAAAGTAGCCAACTGGCCTTCAGTTTTAAACAGACATGACAGCGCACTCAGAAGGTGCCCAATGTCTGCAATAAAGTAGCCAACTGGCCTTCAGTTTTAAACAGACATGACAGCGCACTCAGAAGGTGCCCAATGTCTGCAATAAAGTAGCCAACTGGCCTTCAGTTTTAAACAGACATGACAGCGCACTCAGAAGGTGCCCAATGTCTGCAATAAAGTAGCCAACTGGCCTTCAGTTTTAAACAGACATGACAGCGCACTCAGAAGGTGCCCAATGTCTGCAATAAAGTAGCCAACTGGCCTTCAGTTTTAAACAGACATGACAGCGCACTCAGAAGGTGCCCAATGTCTGCAATAAAGTAGCCAACTGGCCTTCAGTTTTAAACAGACATGACAGCGCACTCAGAAGGTGCCCAATGTCTGCAATAAAGTAGCCAACTGGCCTTCAGTTTTAAACAGACATGACAGCGCACTCAGAAGGTGCCCAATGTCTGCAATAAAGTAGCCAACTGGCCTTCAGTTTTAAACAGACATGACAGCGCACTCAGAAGGTGCCCAATGTCTGCAATAAAGTAGCCAACTGGCCTTCAGTTTTAAACAGACATGACAGCGCACTCAGAAGGTGCCCAATGTCTGCAATAAAGTAGCCAACTGGCCTTCAGTTTTAAACAGACATGACAGCGCACTCAGAAGGTGCCCAATGTCTGCAATAAAGTAGCCAACTGGCCTTCAGTTTTAAACAGACATGACAGCGCACTCAGAAGGTGCCCAATGTCTGCAATAAAGTAGCCAACTGGCCTTCAGTTTTAAACAGACATGACAGCGCACTCAGAAGGTGCCCAATGTCTGCAATAAAGTAGCCAACTGGCCTTCAGTTTTAAACAGACATGACAGCGCACTCAGAAGGTGCCCAATGTCTGCAATAAAGTAGCCAACTGGCCTTCAGTTTTAAACAGACATGACAGCGCACTCAGAAGGTGCCCAATGTCTGCAATAAAGTAGCCAACTGGCCTTCAGTTTTAAACAGACATGACAGCGCACTCAGAAGGTGCCCAATGTCTGCAATAAAGTAGCCAACTGGCCTTCAGTTTTAAACAGACATGACAGCGCACTCAGAAGGTGCCCAATGTCTGCAATAAAGTAGCCAACTGGCCTTCAGTTTTAAACAGACATGACAGCGCACTCAGAAGGTGCCCAATGTCTGCAATAAAGTAGCCAACTGGCCTTCAGTTTTAAACAGACATGACAGCGCACTCAGAAGGTGCCCAATGTCTGCAATAAAGTAGCCAACTGGCCTTCAGTTTTAAACAGACATGACAGCGCACTCAGAAGGTGCCCAATGTCTGCAATAAAGTAGCCAACTGGCCTTCAGTTTTAAACAGACATGACAGCGCACTCAGAAGGTGCCCAATGTCTGCAATAAAGTAGCCAACTGGCCTTCAGTTTTAAACAGACATGACAGCGCACTCAGAAGGTGCCCAATGTCTGCAATAAAGTAGCCAACTGGCCTTCAGTTTTAAACAGACATGACAGCGCACTCAGAAGGTGCCCAATGTCTGCAATAAAGTAGCCAACTGGCCTTCAGTTTTAAACAGACATGACAGCGCACTCAGAAGGTGCCCAATGTCTGCAATAAAGTAGCCAACTGGCCTTCAGTTTTAAACAGACATGACAGCGCACTCAGAAGGTGCCCAATGTCTGCAATAAAGTAGCCAACTGGCCTTCAGTTTTAAACAGACATGACAGCGCACTCAGAAGGTGCCCAATGTCTGCAATAAAGTAGCCAACTGGCCTTCAGTTTTAAACAGACATGACAGCGCACTCAGATAGTGCCCAAAGTCCGCAACAAGCCAACACTTTTTTTTTTGTACTCCTAACGTTTTGCTAACATTCTAAATTGTTCCATCGGGTTTAAGTAGTTACGAGTATAACTTTATAAATCCGTTGTAACCGTTTTACTTATGACACTTTAAGTAAAGTAGCACCATCACAATTATCTAGAGGAGCTCTGTTTAATGACTCAATTAGTGCCCTCCTTCTAAAAGGCCCTTTATACCGTGTTTTGATTGTATGATGATTCCTTAGTATTGCACTGCGCATCCGGTATTGCACTGCGCATCCGGTATTGCACATGCAAGTCACTCAATCAGTGTGCGCGCATTCCGAAAACATGGTATTATTTTTCAATCGAGGTACAGTAAACGGGTACGATGGTCTTTTGCTCTCGAACGAGCACGGAGAGCTGTATTCTCTATTGCATAATCTTGTTGTACAAATTATCTCCCTTAAATTGGAGAAATTTTAAAAAGGTTAAAAGAGCGGGAAATCCTATATAGAGAACAGTATGGAGAATATGCATACTGTTGCTAGAGTGCAAAGGGTTAAGAGCAATGACTGGAGGAACACTTGGGTCGATATTTTTTTTTATAACATAGCTTGTAAATTCGTGCAATCAAATTCAATAGCTCGAGCGTGCTTCAATTTCCAATTGTGCACGCTGGTGACGTCAGCAAACAAATGCCTTGCGAAAAAATATTTTTCTCGCGAGTGACTTCAGCATTTTTCATTAAAAAACGGGAAAAACTTCTGCAAAAAAGTTAAACTAGCCATGGCAACAAGCGAACAAGCCGATGAAGATCTGCCTACTTTTTCTTTGGAAATGGATTTTTTAACTCTCGTGAAAGAACCCAGAGGAAGGGAAAACAAAACAATGAACGGCTTCATCTCGTTTCGGAACTATAACTTCATTTCCACGCATGAATTCACCTGTCAGTTTTTGACCAATCTGAGACAAGATCTTTGAAGTATGGCGAAATACTTTTCCGCAACAAAATAAACAATGCATTGAAGCGTAGGAGATCCGGAATTTCAGCTCTTTATACATAAACTACAGCGTTGAAAATGTTATAAAACAATTGGTTCATACGTCAGCTGTTCGTTCATCGAGATATGAAGCACTTGGGAAGTTTAGGGAGCACTCAAGAAGCTAGAGTTGCTCTCGGCCACGCCTTGAGCAACTCTTACGCATCTTTCGTGCTCTCCAAACTTCCCGCGTGCTTCATAACTCGATGAACGCACGCTGACGTATGAACCAATTGTTAATTGTAAGTGATTTTTTCGAAAATGTTATATTGCATTGTCCCATGCGCTCGAGACTTTCTACCCATTAAGTTCTTTTTCAAAGTTAACTTTCATACCTTGTTTCCAACTACCGCAATATGTAGCGCGAACCGATGAAATGGCACGCATGTTAATTACCAGTACAGCAGGGTGACGAGACTAAAAACGGCTGCGAGGGAGACTAGGCTCGACACTAACTTCTTAACTTACTAGCCAAGTGGCTGGTGACACCTTAGCCAAACTGGCTAGCGGAAACCGAAAACCACTGGCCAGAACTGAATTTCTGCAAGTCCGTGGCTAGTGGGCTACCGTTAGTGTCGAGCCCTGGTACGGGCATAAAAGGACGGGGGCGGGTAAGACTGGCCCATCATAAATCTCAAGCAAGCACGGTGACATATCATGTTTACTGTAGCTTTCGAGACAGACAACTTTCCTTTTGCATAGCTTTGGAGATTTTTAATAATTAAGAAAGGCCTACATGAAGCAATTAAGATTATTCTTCTCTTATTTATTGACTTTTGGTGTCTGGAACAAACTTCCAGAATGAGTTTACACGTATAACAAACTGTTTTGTCTCGAATAGTACTCTTCTCGAAACAGAATAATCCGGTCTTATTTGGTCTTTGAACAGATCGACAATTTTCAGAGCAAGACATGGTTCAGAGTTAATTGCTGTGAAACTTGGAATCAGTTTCAAAGAAAAAGTATACCTCAGAAACTTCTATCATTGTTTTCTTATTTTCGCTGTTGAAGAGTGCCCAGCAAATTAAGACACTTCTCGCCTTTTGAGATTCCGAAGAGTTACCTAAATATACGAAAAATTGTTTTCCAATAGATTTAAAGATGCTATTATTTTGGATGTTGCTTAGCAACCAGGCTAAACTTACTTAGAACGCACCAATGACAGACTCGTCCCAGAGAGGAGTATGACCAAAGCAGCAACTCCTTATGACCGAGCATTGTGGGTCACCTGTGTTGGTTGAATTCTAGGAAGTCAGACGTGTTTAGCCAGGGTACTGATAAGTTTTTCAAGATGATGGCGTTTGTAATTGAACTTAAGCACATTTGAGGACAATTTTTAAAAGGTTAGGTCACTCTTTGGAATCGTAATCAGCTGTAAGAAGTAGACTTGTGCAGTTTTTTTTTTTTTTTTACTTTTGTTTTTAAAAACCAAATCCGAACTGTGTAAATCGTTTTTATCATCAGCTGAC